GCGAAGGGGGCCACGGAAAAGCCCCCCCCCGCCGATACCCGTCCTGCGAGGTCAGGGGCTGGGGGGGGTCGGGCATACTCTGCCCATCGTCGGGGCGAACGTCGGCCGAAAGGAGAGTTTCGTCCTACGGTTTCAGTCACAGGGGTCCGACTGAGCCACATCAGAAAAAGTGGCTGGAATAAAACAACTAATCTGCCAGCCTTTGGCATAATGATTTTAAACATAAGACTAGCACTGACAGGCGCTGGTCTTTTCAGGGGAAAGCGAACTTTGCTGTCCCCAACAAAAATCTACCCTGATTTGGTCAAGTCGTAAGCTTTTAGGAGTTTAAAAAAACAACAACAAACCACCTTTACTGAGCAAGCGTGGAAAGATTTGCTTCAGATCAGCAAGAGCCTCCAGAGTCTCCAAGAAACCTCGCTGAGCGGAGCAGGCACGTCCCCAGGCCGCACCAAGCCAAGAGCGCGGCCCGCACCCGGGGCGAGCGGGAGCGGGGCTGGACTTTCCCTCCGACATCTGCTCCCGACCGCATGGGGCGACTTCCCAAGCAAGGGGCAGGGATCACCCTTCTCGCCTGCTCCGGATGACCTCCTGGCAGCATGCAGCCACCGAGTCTACAAGCAGAGCAGCCGGGAGCCGGACCAGGGAGGAGGGAGACAGGGGAGAAGTACACTGGAACCAGAAACTGGACTTCGCTGGGAGGGGAAGTCGGAGGGAGGACAGGGAGAGAGCCAGCGGCTGCTTAGGCAAGGAGGGTCGAGGCAGGGTTGCGCCATGACCAGGCAGTTACGACGCTGCCAACGAATCACGGTCACGTCCATAGGATGCCAGCTGATGCCGTTTGCCTTTTTTAGTTCGCTTCCTGTCTTTTTCCCTTTGTGCATCAAAGGCACGTCATAAAGAACAACTCTGAGAAGTCAAGCGCTGAAAACGCAAAGAAACGCTACGGGTGAACGCGGCCTACAGCGGCTCCCTTTGCCCCTCCGCTGCTGGGGCAGGCCCTGCTTGAGCTGCGTGTCAGGGCGACGGCAGGAGACTTGGCATTTGTTGATAGCGGAGAAGACAGCGCACAAGGCAGCCACTCCATCTCTTCCTGCTGCTGCTCTCACTGCTCAGGCAGATGAACTCTGCCTTAGAGGACTGCCACCGAGCTGCTGCGCAGTGGCACTCAAGTCATTTAAACCAAGCGTTTCCCAAGCGGCCATTAATGGCGTGTTCCTAACCAACCTGAAACCCTGGCTTCTCTCAAGCAAAACTAATGAAGACTCACAGCAAAAGGGAACGCTGCTTCCAGTATATGAAATACTGTGTGATATCGAGACATCTAGATGGCAAGGCTGTGAGATCCTCAAGATCCTTTGTCCTCTGTTTTAACTCTCTTCCTGTAAAAGCGTGGCAGCACTTCCCAAATCATTTGTCAAACCCTCAGGTGTGACAGTGATAAATAGCAAAGTTCAGGAGGAAATTGCAAACTTCTTCAGTAAGATGTAAATAGCGTGCAATAAATAAAGCCTGGGGCCAAACACAGAACGGCAGGAAAAAACTGAAGATGCTGAATGGCTCATTCAGTGAGTGCTCGCAGCTAACTATAAGCTTTGTGTTAAGAGGCATGGGTCTTGCTGAAAGAGCAAGGTGTGATCACATAATCAAAACCTGTCCATGCATTCACAAGACTTAAAGTACGACTGTACAAATCAGCTTTATGTATCGCGGTGATTCCCACTGTGACCTTAGTTACAATATTTTCATGTCTTTGTGTATTAAAAAAAACTAATAGCAAATAGCTGAAACGGCCCCAGATATTAGACTGCCTTAGACATTCACAGCCTATGACAGAACACAAGTCTACAGTCAACCAAATGCACGAGGCAGGAAGAAAGATCTTAAAGGTAAATAATTCAGGGCTTGAATTCTTTAAGGTAAATAATTTAGGGCTCTAATGAACTCGCTGACTGTAAATAGGGAGTTCCACTGCTAGGAGTCCTCCAAACTGCCCTACATGCAAACCTCAGCAGCGCAGAACAGAAAACTGGCAGCAAAAACACGCCTCACATATTCCCAGCTATAGGAACAAGGAGGACTCCTCACATCTCTCTCGCGCAAACAAAAGGAGTCCTGGAGAGTAAAAGGCAGCTTCACAGCTCGGCTCCAGCGCTCTGTACCGTAGCTGCTGAAAAGGTGGTGCAATTTGTGATTGTGGTGAAACATGTGATTTGGGCAAGCAGCGAGCTGGTCTGTGAAGCAAGGTGGTTGACCCATTTTGTGTCCCATCGAAGCATCAAAAAAGCCCTCAGGGACAGCCAACGCAGCAGTTTGGTCTAGAGGTACTAAAAACACAAGTGACTGTGGGTAAAGCTGTAAGCTCTTTGCTAAATAAGACAGCCAGAAGATTGAAGAAACCAAACAACCCCCCTCACCCCTCCCCACTCCACACTCTTTTCCCCATCCTCTTACAAAATCAGCTTTTATCAAATGCTTTTATCACCACCTGGGAATTCCTGTGCATCCATTAAAAAGTATTTCAGCCAGACAAAATCCATCAACAAACCACAGTATCAATCCTCATCAATTCTTAAATTACCTACAAGTCTCAAGTCTTCTTTGCCTGTATCCTCTGGTACAAGGAGCCACGCACAGACAGCATCTACCCCTGACCATGCAAGGAAACTATTAAAACAGAGATACAGTTGGGCTCTCATCAGCCATACAATGCTGCTGCTGATGAAACACTCAGGAATTTCATGCTGTCTCACACATACATAAAGTAGTACACAAAAACATCCCAAAGTTGCCTAACACCATCTTATGAGACCTACATGAAACTAAAACATGGAACAAAACCCCGCCTTTTGCCGCTAGACACAATCGCGGCAGCAACAATAGCCAACTCACTGAAAGGCTGCTGACGAGCCTAGAAACACCGTATGGGAACAAGCCCGTGGCTCAGCGATCGAGAACCCGACTGCCATTCGTTCTCACTCCGTACCCGGAGGAGATGAGATCTCATCACCAGCGGAGATCTGGGTCACAAGAATAAAAAAGGAAGCTGGAGCTACCCCAGCACAATCTTCTAGGTAACATTCCCAAAAGGGGAAACAGATCTGTGGGTAAGGTTGCATCTCACAAGCTCCTGGGCATAGCACAAAAATAACCATTGGTGCTTCCTCTGCTCCCTGGCAATACCACCCGACTGAAAAACGTATCACATAATCGATTTCTTGTCTGTACACCACTTTGCAAAAACAATTTGTAGACAGAAAGTTCAGATTCCAGTTTCTCAAGGGCTGGCAAGCATATCTAGATTGCCAAAGTCTTCCTCCAGTATGCCAGGCTAAAAAGGACCTGTGTGCCTACCCTGTACTTCAAAAATGGAAACCTAAACAGCGTGGAAGCAAGCATGCAAGACAAGGAAGTATCAATTTTAAACCCTTGATTATTTGTGCAAAATAATCACACTGGGTCTCTCCCTATGCAATCAAGTAGCTCATTCCTATCCAGGAACAGGACCGAAAAATGAAACAGCCTTCAAGCCTCTGCTAGCTGAAGTTTTTGTAATCCTACTCTATGTCATTTCCTTGTTTATGTCTCTTGATACTGGAGTTCAACTTCTGGAGAAATATGCATGAAGAACCTAGAAAGTGAAATGTGATATTATTTATGAAATAAGAGAGCATGCTATTAGCAAGAATTCGTATACACACACATCCAAATCCTGTTCCTCCGTCAAACACCCACTCTTGAAATCCTGTACCAACCAGATTAGCAAATGTGCACATGCTTGCACTCTTGCAGAAACAATAGTCTCTTTCAGTCCATACAATCTTCTGAAGAAACAGGCTAAAACGTCATGGGAAAAGTTAGGAAATATCTGCACAAAACAGTTCACAAGATGAAAGGCAAAATGAGTCTTTTAAATTGTATAAAAGTACATAACACGGAGGAGAAATTAATGGCTTTGTTACCTATCCATTCTTCCAAAAGGCTTTTTTTTTTTTT